GAGGAACGCACCTAGTCCGGAGTCCATTGTATGCATGATCATTTCCAAAGTCGGACCGTGGACGTGGTAATTTCCCAGACGTTTCATCAGCCTCGTCAGTGAGTCTCACCATTCTTAGCATCATAGTACAACTCGTCAAAGAGAGAAGTGAATCCCATCTTTTGACCGAACGTGTGGTATCTCACCGTCTGTCATGGGCTATTCACATTTCCTATATCCTCCTATCACGCCTTCACTGCTACACCATTTTAACCGTGCTAATTTCGATGTAGTGTCGTGTGCTCCTTCGAGCGGTATTCATGAAAACCCTTCAAACTCCACGCTATCGTTCTCTCCCCCTTCATCCTTGTGCTGAGAAGGTTCACCAGTCTGTCATATTGTTACGTAGTCTTCCTTTCCTGGGTTCTATCAGTCTTCCTCCTGCCTAGTAGAATCCGTCTACCATCCCCCTGGTACACATATTTCACTCGACCCCTGTCCTCCCCATCTGTGCTGCTCGAAGCGTTATCCGCCCTCTCCTGCGTTTGGGTGACTAATTCAAGGCTAAAGCCTCTGAGTAAGTCTAATGGTCATGCCTTTGCCAAATTGACCACGTCTCTTGTACTGTCAACTAACTAGCTCCAATCGCCGCCGCATCTATCCTTCTATCACTTCTATGATCAAATACGACTATTTTAGTCTCCACTGCGTATTTACTATTTCTATATGTGATACCATGTCCATCACTTAATACGTCCTAGTCTCTTGTGTGCCGACCCACAAATGTCGTGGTTCTCCTTTTTTTGATTAGGCTCACTGAAGACGTCTCCTCATTGCTTTTGATTGTTTCTTTCTCATCACCCTGCGATCTCTTTTCCTAAAATAAAGGATATAACCTTGATACAGTCGTCTTCTTTTTGCTAAGCTTGCTATTGCTTGGTCTTCTCTGAGTTTGTTTAGGCAATATGCAAATTTTTCGCTGATCCTGTCTTCTTCAAGTCTCCTGTTTATTAGCTTTCTCTCGGCCTTCTAGAGAATTTTCAAGGTTTTGTGCTCATGTAGTTTTGTCCGTGTGGGAGACCTGCTTACCAATTCATAAAAGATTATCAGAACGCAACCGCTTGTAAAGGTCCATGGCTCAGCAAATTTCACCTCAATGACTACATGGCTAATAGAGGACACTTAATAGGCTGGTCCCAACACGCTTTGCTGATTATAAGGACTTCAAATCAAAGCATAAGATTCGCGGCTAAATGTAAATTAATAAAACAATTAACATTCCAAATGGAAGGAATGAGCGTAAGAAATTGTCTACGAACTAGTTATACTTGATGGATAGGCTTATAGAGCTGAAAAGAGCAGGAAAAACTAATGAGCACGAGAAATAGGCTAGAAAAACCTCGAGTCTGATTACGGCTATCACATTTCATGATTTGAGCATTACATACATACAAAAGAGAATAGCACAAATTCGAACATGAGTTAACACTAGAGGATCGAATACTAGTTTATATATGTAAGAAAGCAGCTTCCACCACAACCACTTCATGAGCATGAATTAGAATGACTCATCTGAAAGCAGGTAGGATGCTTGAGGTGTCCAACCAAATCAAGGGATCCCTTGTATAAAAAAGTAAAAAGGAATGCAGCCGGTCAAATTTTTCTAGGTTTACTATTTTGGTGCACTATTTCGTAAAGCATAGATTATTAAAGCTATGAAGACAAAGATGGTGTGTCCTTTTGTGTGGTTGCAGTCTCCTTTCGTTGTATAAAGGTTTTATGACCTTGTTTTCGCAACTCGGTCATATTGGTAGAAAGACTTAGAGGAACGCACCTAGTCCAAAGTCCATTGTATGCATCATCATTTCCAAAGTCGGACCGTGGACGTGGTACTTTCCCAGACGTTTAGCCGGCATCGTCAGTGAGTCTCGCCATTCCTAACACCATAGTACAACTCAGCAAAGAGACAAGGGAAGCCCATCCTCTGACCAAACGTTGTGGTATCTCCCCTTCTGCTATGGGCTATTCACATTTCCTATATCCTTCTATCACGCCTTTACTCTTACACTTTTTACCGTGCTTATTTCGATGTAGAGGTGTGCTACTTTGAGTGGCATTAATGAAAGAAGCAGTGGAAACTAGAGCTAGTTGGCTAACAATGTTCGTGATTCAAGGATCACGTCTATGATCAAACACGTCTATTGTTAGAAAATAGCTTTAGTTTCCACCGCGTCTTTCCTATTTCTATCTGTAATACCATGTCTATTACTCCCTAAGTCCTAGTTTCTCGTATGTCAACCCACGATTGTCGTGGTTCTACTTGTTTTAATTAGGCTCACTGAAGACGTCTTCTTTTTGCATCTGATTGTTCCTTTCTTATACCCAAGCGATTTCTTTTCCTAAAATTAAGGATGTAACCTTGATCCAGTCGTCTTCTTTTTGCTGATCTTGCTGTTGCCTGGTCTTCTCCGAGTTTGTTTAGGCAATATGCAAAGTTTTCGTTGATCCTACCTTCTTCATGTCTCCTGTTCATTAGATTTCTCTCAGTCATTATATCGATGGTCTCTCTGATCTTGCGTTTTCTCGTATTTTCACCATATGCAGCCAATCTTTTGGTCGATTTCAAGGCGATTTCGTGCCTCGTTCGTGCAACGTGTTCCGCTATTTCGGGTCTTTTCGTATTCATCTTTCTGTAGGGTATATAATGTTCATATTTGAGTAGGGTTTCGAGACTACCATCTCATTATATAATGTTCCTTGATTCGTATAACGATTTTTCTTCCTGTTTCACCGATATACTTCTGCTCACAGTTGCCGCATTTGATACGATAAACTTCCGAGCAATAAAGTTTGTCAGTCTTCTTGTGTTGCGTCGGCAAACTTATGAAAAGTGTTTTCTACTCCTTTGTTATCACCCTGATATTCCATTTTCTTAGTAACGGTCGCAATTGATGGCTCAGTTCTGATGAGTGTAGGCAAATCCACTTTTGTTTGTCATCCTGATTCATGATCTGATTTTCATAAAATTCAAGTTAAAATCGGTCCTTTATAACATCTACATTTTTTTATAAAATTCTCTGAGGTATTTGTTACTAAGGCAAATCCGTGTCAGTTGGTCCAACTCTTCGTCTCAGAACTCAGTGTCCGTTAGTCGTAAGCTTCTGATGATCAAACTACTCAGTATTCCAATCTTCAATCTGTAGTTATGGTGAGACTTAAAATTAAGGATTATTCCCGCATATTAATTCTTTCTGTATAGTCTCCTCATAAGTGTCCCCTTAGAGCGCATGACTTCAATATCCAGAAAGGGAAGTCGTTCATCCTCCTTTACCTCCATTGCGAATTTTATTCTTTTATCAAGTTCGTTAATAAAATTGAGGAATAAATAAAAATTTTCCATACCATGTGACCAAAGTGCAAAGTAGTCATCCATGTATCGCAGAAGCAGACTTGGTTGCAGTTGTCACTTCTCGAATTCCATTTCTAACTTGTCCATGTACACATAGACTCGGTATTAGGGAGAGAGACGGGATAGACGCGGCGGCGATTGGAGCTAGTTGGCTGACAGTAGGTTTTACAAAAGACGTGGTCCATGTGGCAAAGGCGTGGCATTGAGACTTACTCAGAGGCTTTAGCCTCGAATTAGTCACCCAGATGCAGGGGATGGCGAATAACGCCTCGAGTAGCACAGATGGGGAGGTAGGGGTCGAGTGAAATACGTGTACCAGGGAAATAGCAAACGGATTATACGGGGCAAAAGGGAGACTCTTATAGGACCCAGGGAAGGACTACGTTACAATATAAAAGACTCTGGTCAACATTCCCAGCACAATGGTCAAAAGGATGAGAATGACAGCGTGGAGTGTGAAGGGTTTTCATGAGTGCCGCTCAAAGGAGCACACCACACTAGATCAAAATAAGCACGGTAAAAATTGTGACTGAGAAGGCGTGATAGGAGGATATAGGAAATGTGAATAGCTTATGGCAGAAGGGGAGATACCACAAGTGTTTAGCACACGTTTGGTCAAAGGATAGGCTTCACTTGTCTCTGACGAGTTCTACTATGGTGTTACAAATGGCGAGACTTACTGACGATGCCGGCGAAACGTCAGGAAAAGTACCATGTCCACGGTTAGACTTTGAAAATGATCATGTATACAATGGACTCCGGACTAGGTGCGTTTTTCTAAGTCCTCCTATCAATATGACGAAGTTGCGAAGGCAAGGTCAAAAAACCTCTATAGATTATTGCTCTGATGATGTAATTAAAAGTACAGGCAAAAACTTACACAGGTTGATTGGGATCGCAGGACGGTTAAGCGAGGGCTTCTCCGCACAATTCCAAAGTCATCGCTCCTTCGATTATCGATTAAACCATCTCGCTAATTTCGTACAGGAACTTATCTTGCTAAATGGAAAGTCATGTCCTACTATCCTGGTTAAAATATGCCCATTTCAGCGGTCACAACACTTTACGGATATAATAAGAGAATGGAAATAATTATGCAACTAACTAAAGCAAGCGAGTTAAAAACACTCATCAGCCTAACCCTACATGTGTCAAATAGTCTCTAAAATTATGCACTTTAGCGATGTACAATGTGATTTGCTAAGTTAAGATCATATGCCAATTTAGAAGTATATATGTGCGTAGGGTAAATCAGAAATAAATAAAGGTGCGAAACCATCAGTAATAGCTTCAAGAAAAGCAAATTTCTATCACGTTTGGAGCTATCCTTATCTCTATTTCTTTATGTGTTAAGTCCC